GTTTGACCGGATCTTGAACAAAAGCTGTATTCAATCTGGGTCAGATTAGACGATGAGATGAGTTTGCGGAAGAAAACAACTCTCATTTGGCCAGCAGCTCTTCCAATCTAGGCTGACTAGAAGTCGCCTAAAAGTATCTTCTTCATGGTCTCCTTGACAGGCAGATCAAGTTGTGAAACCGACTCCCAAAAACCAACGAGAGTGGTACAGTCGCTATGACGCCACCGGTGACGGAGGGCAGACGAACTCTCTAGTTGCTGTGGTCCGGTGGCCTCGGGGGAAGGCTGGCCGAAAATCCCATTCCGGCCTGGTCGGAAGTCCGGCGGCTATGTAGGGCAGGCACTCGGAAGGGAGGAGAGAGAGAATGGGAAAAAAAGAGTTACTAGGCGACAGTTACCTTGCTGAGAATGATCTCGGGCGCCAGGTACTCGGGGGTTCCGCACAACGTCCAAGTCCTGCCCTTGACGCGCTTGGCAAAGCCGAAATCGGTCACCTGAAAGGGAGGAGGCAGACGGGAAATGGGGGACAACGGCAGTGATGTGAGTGCTAAAGTGGGCAGAAAAAGGCAAGGGATTGAATAATTCACATAAACTATGCCAAATACTGGGCAGCAGTGTGATGGAGGAGTGGTTTTCTCTTGTTTTACCGACTTATTCCTGTTGTCAAAGCGACCTAGATGAACGCATCTGGTCTCAAGTCGTCAGCTTTGGTAGGCATGACAATTTCCAGCCTATGAATCCGGAATCGGTACATTCACACACGTTTCGCCAGCTTTGTAGTCGGTGTGTTTGGTGCATTTTTTTGTGAATTATCGTTTCCGCCATAACTTCCACAGCAAGATGGAGGAACGCTCAGCACAGACTAATTGGGGTCTTCTTCACACAGTCCAAGACAAACCTTATTTGTTGTCTGGTGACGCCAATTCACGAATCCTTTCCAACCGCCTTTACGCCATCACCAATCTGTTAAAGAAGCCTTGAAAACTCACTTTCTTTTCATATTTCACTGGCAATGCCTCCGCGAGTGTACCTATTCGGATGACTCCGGACAAGGGGAGTGCACCTAGGTCGCCCTGACAACACGACAGGGTTGCGAAAACGAGGCAAAACTATGTCTTTGCACATGCGATTCATTGTTTTAGGGCGAAATGAGGGAGGTGGCGAAAAACGAAATGTGTACTTTATGTGAAATGACCGTCCATTTCGAAGGAAAAATTGGTTGGAAGGAATTGGTGAAATGGTCATACCGGAAATCGATAGAGGATTGATTGCTGTGGAGTGAAGACTGTTGGAATGTGCCAACAAGTCCTCGATTCGCCGTCCTGCGACACCGATGAACGGGTGCTAAGTTTATGTCTGTACCTCCGTGACAGACGTTGTCAGAATGTGAAAAGATTTTTTACGAAAAACGCACTAACGCAATAGGTCTGGTGCATTCACACTCACTGTCTAGACATAACTTTGCGACCATAATGGAGCAAAGAAAAGTTGGGTTTCGAGGAATCGCTTGTTTCATAATTGTTGAGCTGACTTCCATTTCGAGTGAAGGTGTTGAGTGAAGAGATACGAAGGTCGGTTCCACCAGAAGACGACGGTACATTCCTCGTGACCAGCTGTCGATTGGCTCATCCTCCTTCTCCTCCTCCTCCTCCTCCTCTTTATCCTCCTTCTTATCATCCTTCTTTTCTTCATCATCC